AGAGAGAGAGAGAGAGAGAGAGAGAGAGAGAGATAGAGGGAAGGAGAGAAAAAGAAAGAAATAGAGATACCCATTTGTGTAGAAATCAAGGTGATACCAGCAGCATAGCGTCCAACCCACAGACGAGCCTCGATGTCTCGAGAGGAGGGGGAAACATTCGACGAGCCCGTCGTCAAGCGAATGAAGCACGACGTGGGCTCCTCTTCCACACCACTTCTCGAAACGATCGAAACCATCGAGGAGGAGGAGTACATTTTACTGCGATTTCCTTGTTTTGACTTCTTCCGTAACGTGCATCTCTGCGAGCAACGCGTGGGGGGGGAGCCCTCCCCAAGTGGAGTGGTGTTCAACGCGGAGGGCGTGAGCTTCTCGGCGGAGTTCCCACCCTCGCGTAGCGTGGAGAGCCCGCTGGTCTTCCTGAACGCGGGGACTCCCACCGCGATGGGGTTTCGCGGCTCCTGGGAGGAGCTCGCAGAGCGGGAAGGGGGGCAGACGAACCGCGTCATTCTCCACCTCACACGGCGCGCGAAAGGGGAAGGCGATGCGGAGAAGGTGGAGAAAGAGGGCGAGGAGGAGGGAAGAGAAAAGGGGGGAAAGCAACAGGAGCCTCCGTCGGCGGTTTCAAGTCTCTTTTGCCATTTACAGGAGGGGGTTACCGCCGATGAGAAGCGCCAACGAGAGGAGCAGCGCGCGAAAGAAGCGGGGGATTGGGTGTACGACAAGGTGATCACGCCCTCCGCGGTGTTGGTAATGACTAGAATCAGCTAACATTAGAGAAAAGGAACGAGGCGGAGGAATTTACCGATTGAATAAGGTTTCGCACGGGAAACTTCACGCTGAATTCTAAAGGGTGGTGAATGGCGGGGGACTTACGTATTTTTGCCTCCCTTCCTTCCATTCCCTTTTTTTATTCTACCCAACCCACTTGGAGTTCTTCAAAGCAATTTGCAGTGAGATGCCTCCGATGCGTTGAATATCTCACCCTCAAACTAAAATGTATTTTTTTGAGTATGGGTTTCCTGTCGTGGATGTGTTCGGCTCCCCGGCTTGAATGTTGATGAATTCTCTCCCTCTGAGCGTCCGTAGCTTCGCCCTTGGGCATAGGAAAGCTTGAAGTCTGATTTCCAGGTTGGACAGCTCTGTTAGCGTAGTTTTGTCCGAAGCATCATGCACGGTAAAAGTGTGATTGTGCTAGCGGATAGCGTTCATCGGTCCACGCATTCATTCGTTATAGATCAAAGACCCTCTCTTTATTTGAATTCTGTTGGTATAGGGCGTAGTCTTAAGAAATTAAGGTTCCCATTTTCCACAGCTCATCATGCCTATACTTGATATTCTATTAATAACATTATCTGAATGGAACTTTTTGGTATTTCTCTGATTAGGAAAAGGGCATGGGATATGAGTACTCTTTTCCTGTGCATCGCATTTGACTTCCTATTCGCTTGATTTAATTTTAAAACAATTCGTACCCCAACGCAAACTCTCGAACACCATCAAACAAAAATTACTAAAGATATAAAGACTAACCAACAACGCAAAGCGCAGCAGAGAGGGTTTTGGAGGGATTCTCAAGACTCACCTTACACTTTTCTTCTGGTTTCATTAAAAATATGCTACCAACTAGGCAATGTTGTTGTGCTGCGCTCCGCTCCACAGCCTCGCGTGGCTTTAATGCACTTGATCATCAAAGCGCCTCCTTCGGCGGCTCTTCGTATTTCTCGTTGATATCCGCTGATTTTGAGACCCCTGCATCGTGCAAATCCAATGCTCCCCCAACATCTGCATCTCGCTCATGCCCTGAAAAGCTTTTCTTCCTCGTTCGTAGCGTCTATCGCTCGATTCGTTTCTACGATCCCGCGTACGCGAGCATGGCGGTTGCAGCGCTCGGGGAGCTTCAACAACCGCCTCCTAAGCCGAAGGCTTTGATTCGCGACCTCCTCCCCTCCCTCTCCTATTTTCGAGAATCGGATCTGATCGATTTGATGGAAGGGCTCGCCAAGCTCAATATTTCACATAAAATGCTCACAGCACATCTTCTGAAACTTTTTTTACGCTCGTTGGCAAATTTTTTGTCTGCCAAGATGCTCTTTGAGAGGGGATATTCAAACGAATGTGGCACGATGAAGCAACTTCAGCGTGTGATTCCGCCGCTCGTTCACATGGCGTCTTCCGTACAACGCTTGCAATCACAGTGGACGATGCACGCTTTCCTTCGCTGCACAGAAGGATATCTCACGCCTTTCTTCAGAAATGTGGAGGGGAGAGGAAGAGCCTTTAGCATCCAAGAGCTATATGGTGTATCGTTTCCACAGATGCATAAGACTGCGTGTGATTCCAAATGTATGCAGATGGTGAATCAGGTATTGTTTTTATTCGAGGTTTATCGCAACGCTGATTTTTTTTTGGCACCCTCAACATTTCCTCAATTTCTCGGACACTGCCTATTGGTAACCATACCTTATATGACGCTCAGCCATTCCACTTATCTTTACGATTTTTTATGCCCAACCTCGCCGGATGAGGAGTCTAAGCACTCTTCAAACGCATTGCTGTCCGAGTATGAAGTTGATCAAGCACATACCCATGATCCCGGCGATACGCATTCTAGCGTAGAGGCATTAGTCAAACGTGCGTTGGCGTTGCGTATTCTGTTACTGTGCATGACTGCAGAGAATCCAGTCCTCCCGGAGTGTTCAACTATTTCAGAACGGAAGTTTCCATCAGCGTCAGAGGGAACAGCAGTGTTGTGCAACTTGGCAAAGCGCATTAAGCCTTCATGTGCTTCCTCGCTTCAATTTTGCTTGTTATCAACATCCAGCGCAACGAATATGAACTTTGAGAAACCACCAACGGCACCTTCTACGTCTGGAATCACGCCTCAGCTATGCTTAGATCTTGCTAAGAGGGGAATTCTCTTGCATTCATTCTATGATAGCTGCGTTTCACCGCTTGTTGGGAATACCAAAGCGGATTCACCGTGTAGTGAGGCAATGCTGACGACGGGCACCCTAAATACTTCACTATTATGGTCTGAGTGTATTGCGAATGCAATTCAATTTAGCATCTCATTGAAATGCGATAAGGCAGAATTGGTTGGATTTTGGTTGTTTGTAAATCAATGGCTAGGGATTGAGCGCAAGCTTAGCAACCAGCCGGAGAGAAAAATCCCGTTCAATCCGGTGGTTAAACTGATGTTCTCGCGCGCGCGCCGTGAGCAGTTATCTGTCATTTGTGGCGTGTTGATAATGCTCAAGCAATTTAGCGCGCGTGATCTGGATGCTTCTGTTTCAGCGGGATCCACCCAACACCCGACTGAGAGTTGTGATTCATCCACGCAAAGACTTACCTTAGGATGCTTAGAAGGGTTGAAGAAACTCGTGCAACATTGCATATACGTGCTTCAGCTTGTTTGTGGCAGCTCGCAGAGTACTAAAATAACGGAACCCTTTTTAAAAGAAGAGCTGGATGCGCTGGTGTGTTGCTTAGAGCTTTATGAGTATCCCTTTCCAGGGAAGCCGTTCCTCTTCTCGCGCATGGATAGAACCCCGCAAAGTGTAGTGGAGTGGGTTTGTCAGAGACTCTGTGCGGGTGAGTCGAGTTTGACGCGTGATTCCTTATGGGATGCCTGGCGAATTATCCTCAACAGCTTTATTATCCGCACGCTAGACCGTTGGGGGGATGTGATCGCGAGTGAATCGAGGTGGCAACGGTACCTTGCCTCCCGTGGAGCGAAGCATGGGGATTTTCTTCTTGACAGGGCCCCTGGCTTCGGCCAAGGTGAGCGGGTGAGGTTTCTAAAGGAATACTTTGCCCACACCCGAATGAACTGGAGGGTGCTCACGTTGGTTCCGTCGTGGTTGCACGCGAAACCGCCGCTAGCGGACTTTTCCCGCGCGAAGTACGAGAACTTTCTCGCCACGGCCTTGGAACGGCTTCTCCATTCCCTTGAGCCCTGCTGTGCGGATTATTTTGACCTCCGGATGGAGTTTGTATACCTCGAAAACGGCCTCCATCTCCCCACACCGTGGGTGCTGGCCTGCCTGTCGAGCCTCTTGGCCCCTCTGGAAACGGGGGAAATGGTGTGTTCGCCCGACGAGGATCCTCGCCGAACCCCACCCCCGGGGTGGAGTTCCTCTTGTCGGGCGGTCCTCCTCGCCTCTCCCGTTCTTCCACCCCTTTTTTCGTATTTATGGGAGGCTCTCAAGCGGGCAGGGGGGGAGGGCCCTCCCCCCCTCGTCGAGATCGCGTTGGGGGTGACCGCGGGGCTGCTCAGGGGGGCTCCGCCTGTTCCGCCGCAAACGCGTCGTCTCCTCGCGCACGCGATGTGGCGGCATCCCCTGACGTGGCGGGCCGCCCACTTACCCTTTTCCCCCTCCGCCCCCTCCTCCTTCGTCTCCCCTTCTTACGAGGGCAACGAAGGGGAAGAGGGGGAACACCGAAAGGAAAAGGAAATCCAAAAAGTGGATGGGGGAGGTCCTTGGGAGGCCTCGGGGCGGCCTTTGGAGGGGCTCACGGCGCTTTTAACGCAGCGGATTGGCCGCGCGGGGCGGTGGGGGGGTAACGCGGCGGAGCGCACCCATCGCGAAGGGAGGGGGGGGGGAGGGGGAGTGGCGGCGTCGCTCGCCA